ACTAAACTGAACATTTTTAAGTCTCAAAAATAAAATTTGTAGATATCAGTGAAAATACTCAATAGTGAGTCTGAGAGAAAGATCATCCACAAAAGGACCAGAAGCCCAGCTCTGTAACATCACAGAGTAACATGTCCACATGGTGATGATTTAAACTTTATTCACGATAACTGAAAAGTTTTGACTTATCACAAAACACATAAAAAACAAAAACAGAAAATTGTGGCGAAAGAGCAAAGCCCAAGAAAATACCTTCACAAGATGATGATCTTTTAGGATCACTTGGATGAAGTAAAGTCCATTATTAAAGCCAAATAAAATGTAGATTAACTAAGGCTCTCCCTGGAGGCACAATGGGTTAAAGCACAGCACTACAGCATGAGTTTGACTCCCGGCCAGGAAGGTGACCCACATGGCACAGCAGAACTCTCCTGTCCTGCCCACTGCTCCCCTCAGCAGTGTATTTCAGTAGATAGTACCTGTTCTGCTCCCCACCTGTCTCTGGTGAATTCTCTCACCCCCCACAAACCTCTGTCCTGTACCCCAGTTCTGTATGCATAAATAAATCTTTTAAGAAAATACAAATGTCGATCAATTATAATCTAACATATTACAATAAAAATCTACTCTAAGGAAAAGAATCAAACAAGGCCCTCCCTGGTGGTGCAGCAGATTGGAGCATAGCACTGCGAAGCGGCCAGGCGGTGGCCGCTTCAGTGCAAGTTCAACCTCCGCCCCAGAGGTGATCCATGTGGTGCAGCAGACCTCTCTTGTCTCACCTGTTACTCCCTTCAGCAGAGTGCTTTGTTTATCTGCCTGTTCTGTTCACTACTCTGTCTCTGGTGAATCCTCTTACCACCCTGCATATTTGGCCTGTACTCCAGTTCTGTATGCATAAATAAATAAATCTTAAAAAAAAAAAAAAAAAGAATCAGATAAGTAATTGTGTTACAAAGTATAAATAAGTAAATATATTTATAAACAAGTAAATATGTTATAAAGAGTAGTGGTAAACACAAAACAATAAAAAATTAAAAGTCTATCTCAAAATATAACGTCTCAGAGGGCAGAAATCATGGCTTTCCTGTCTTCTAAAAAGTCTAAAATAATACACACAAGTCTCAACTCCCAGGAGTGGAACAGTCCCACAAAGTTGACTTTCAATGTTTTTCCTGTTCTATTTTCTGATTTGGCCCCACTGTTCTAAGACCACACAGAGCATCAGCCCAGCACCTCTGACTGGGAACACTCAGGCACCTCCTCCAAGCAACACACGTCACAGCCAGGTCTACAGCAGGTACAGCCACAGCATAGACCAAGAAGAGAAGCCAAAATGGGGGGGACTTCAGCCCATGCCAAATTCTCACATTGACCTCTGGATGCAATTCCCTCCTATTCTCAGTCTCCTTCTAGACATGAAACAGAAGGGTTCCCACACACTTGACTTGGGAATTGAGGCCAAGTGAGGACAACTTCCTGCAGTATAATGTTATAATTATAAACAGCATTTCTATATTAAAATGATTCATACTGAGTATTAGAATCAAGTATTGTAGTTTTTTTTTTTTCTAAAGATTTATTTATTCATACAGAATTGGGTTACAGGCCAGAGATGCGGAGGGTGAGAGGATTCACCAGGGGCAGAGTGAGGAGCAGAACAGGCAGATCAATGAAGTACACTGCTGAGGGGAGCAGCGGGTGGGTCAGGAGAGATCTGCCACTCCATGTGGTCACCTCCGGGGCAGGCAGGTATCGAACTCATGCGGAAGTGGCTTAAGCTTCTTAGTGCAGTGCTTTAACCCACTGCGCCACCAGGGAGGGCCGTATTGTGGGGTTTTAATTAAGATTTGTTTATTTATGCATACAGGACTGGGGTACAGGCCAGAGGTGCAGGGGCAGTGAGAGGATTCACCAGAGACAGAGTGGGGAGCAGAACAGGCATATCAACAAAGTACACTGCTGAGGGAAGCAGTGGGCAAGACAGAAGTCTGCTGCGCCATGTGGCTAGAAATGAACCCGCACTGAAATGGCTGCATCTAGCTTCATAGTGCTGCACTTTAACCAGTTGCACCACCAGGGAGGGCCCATAATATGAAGTTTTAATCAACAAAAACAATAAAGGTAATAATACCAACACCAGCCTTTACTGACCCCAGGGGCAGACACTTCGCTCCACTTCCTATATGTACCATGGCATCTAATTCTCACAACCCCCCTCTGAGAAAGGGATATCATCATCACTGTACAATTAAAGGAGCTGGGCCCTGGAGAAGTGCAGTAAGCTTGCAATGGCATGCAGGTAAAGTCTCAAAGATGGGATCCTACCCCAAGGGAAGATCTAGCCACTTACTGTACTACAAGACATGGGAGCACCTATGCCCAACTAAAGGAGTCAGGCCCGTTGAGTGGATAAGGCAGATCTGTCTATTAGCTAAATGAGTCAAGCATGAAAAGGCAAAAGACTATGGGGTTGTTCGTTCCTGCTGTCTTTCCAGCTTCTGGTTTCTGCACCTGGTGAAGAGCTACCCCTGTACTCATCTATTACCTTCCAAAGCAGACCAAAGACAGTGGGCACCACAGTGAGGAGGGAAAAGGGTGTCAGTGACTCCTTCTTAGTATTTTCCAATTACTTTTTCTCAGGCATCCCTTCTCGGCCCTCACAGCCCATGGATTTCACAGATAAGTGGTCCTTCCCCTGGTTACTTCCCCAGGGGCAGATCCTGACTCTCAGGACCGATCAGCTTCTGTTAATCTTCTGATCACTCTTATTGGTCTCAGTGGTCTAAGTTCACTGGAACATATTTGGGGGAGGTTTTTTCCCCTTAATGATTGAAAGGCAGGTTCCCTCCCTCTCACCGGTAACTTTCCCTCACTAAATATGGACAAAGATGTATTCTAACCCTAGTTGCCACTGGCAATTAACTTAAAGACATCCAACTTAAAGGGAAAAAAAAAGTATTCAGAGAAAGATGGAAAGTATGGCCCACTTGGTTAAGAGAGAAGAGTTCCTTACTGAGAAGAAAAGCACAGTTACCAACAGCACAGGTTCTAGAGTCAAAAGGTTTGGATCTGCCTCAAATGCTTACTGACATCTACTTTGTACAAATTACTTCACTAAGAAACACAAAATGGGAATAATAATAGTTGCACCCTAATATGGTGGCTACATGGAGTAAATGAATTTATATATGGAGAGAGAGAGACAAACACACATAAGCACTTAGAACACTGCTTGGTATGTGTACAGATGATTACTGGTGTCATCTGAGACAGGACATCTGTCACTTGCTGTGCCAGGCAGCCTTATTGATGCAGAAGGGACAGCATAAGTACAGGAGGTATTCTCTGAGGCACGGACTGCCAAGCTGGGCTAAGGAAAAGTAAGATGAGTGGAAAACATATCACTCCACCTTCCAAAAAGGACACAATTCCATTCCATAAAAATTGAACAAAGAAAATGTCCAATGAAGCTAGTAAAGTGAGAGCACATATTAGAAACACCCAGCTGTGTGATAACACAGACAGAGGAAAGCTCGTGCCCCAGAAGGTGCCATGACTGCAGAATTGTCAACAGGAAAGCAAAAATGGATCTATGTGAAGAGACACAGAGTAAGGCTTTATAAAGTTCTACAGGAAACCCATTTGGAGCCCACCTCTGAAGTGAGTCGACAGGCCATGTACAGGGACAGAATGACATCTGGTTTCCTGTCACACACCCACACCTGCCAACCAACACACAGCTTGAAGGTCTAATTTTAGACTCAGCAGCCGTGACAGCTTTTATTTTTTCTTTTAAAAATTGTCCATATTTCATCCTCTGGGTACAGTTGCTAGCCATTAGTCTCACATTCCCTGGCAAAAGGGAATGAAGGTAATAATGTATCTCTTCTTTGGCATCTTCCCCATTAACCTCTTTTAGAATGTCTGTTAAATGCCTTTCTAAAATCATGTCAAGAGCTAAGAAAACATAAGTTTCTAGAATCTCGATCACCACTTTCATCACACATCCACTGCTCATGAGCCTTTTTGTGGATGAAAGGACAAAAGCCATTCTCCATACCCTGGCACCCAAACACTGCACAGACAAATAGGCCCTTTATGAACGTCCACATTTCCACAGTCCTACTCCACCACTTTTCCAGGGTGGATTCATGACTCAGATTCACATCTTGATTTAGCAACTCATCACCCTTTCTTCTTGGGTAACTTATTTAATCTGAGCTTCAGAGCTAAGGCAGGTGAAAGATCTGGCTTTAACCTTGACATAGTAAGTGTCAATAAGTATTTGACCTGCTGTATCCAATGAAAGAAAGTGTTTTGAAGTGGACAAGAAATGACAACTCAAAGGTGTGAAGAAAAAAGCAAGAGGTCAAATCTTTTACAGAGGAACCTGGTAATATGAATTAAAACATAAAATGCACATACCTTTGAGTCATATATCCCACTTTGCTTCATATAACAGTAAAGAAGTAAGTAATCATAGGAATTTTCATTACAGCATTTTTTGTAATAGCAAGAGTTAGAAACAATCTAAATGTCAATTAAGAATGGACCAAAAAATTTCTATAAATACACTGTATCTAGGTGAAAGGTTTTTTTCCAAAACTGCCTGATTTTTTTTTAAGATTTATTTATTTATTCATACAGAACTGGGGTACAGGCCAGAGATGAGGAGAATGAGAGGATTCACCAGAGACAGAGTGGGGAGCAGAACAGAGCTGCCTGATATTTTTAACAAGATACAAATTATTATTCCTAGAATTAGATGGTTATTTAAAAAACAATTTTTAAAAAACACATAAAAGTAAAAGGTACCCCTGATGGAAATCTATTAATTACTGTATGGTTAAAAATTAGTGTGTGATTTATATGAGGTATATATGACTTCATAAGTATGAAATCATAGCTTTTCAATATATGTGTTTCCCAGTACCCATCTTGTGCATGCACACACACACAAAGACATAGACATACACACACACACACAGAAATGATCTTACCAATTTGGATTTTCTGTACTTTCCCGAAAGACAGACTCTTCCTTCATGGATGCATATTGAGTCCATGTGAGACAGTGACTCTGTATGGCCATGCTTCTTTCCTGAGGATTGAGCCACGACTCCTCTTCTAACTGGATATTAGGCACCTTTAAAATGCTCACCTGTCCAACAAAGGAAAGATGGTTTTCTCAATATAGGAAGAACAGGCTCCAGAAGAACTGAACTTGTAGCTGTTCTCAGTCTTGCATGACTAAGAGGACAAGTGATCCTGATACATATGGACAACAGCTCACCAATAGCTATCTGTAAGCCCTCGGTAATCACACTATGACCTTACTAAATGCTGGAAAGGGCATGCAAATGGCCCAAGATTTATACAGGCGATACCAACTCTGTCCTGATTTCCTTAAATGCTAAACACAAAGCAAATTATCAGCCTCCTCCATGTCTCCTTTAGAGCTGGTTATGGCCTTCTTAGGTTGATGGATTCTAATCAGGTTCATTTATGAACCCACATGCAGGACAATATAAGGTAAAATATTTTCTTCATTTTAACTCTGTCCAACACCTAGACATGTATGTTTTCCTAGACAAAGGAGACAAGGAAAACTACAGAGGCAGAATTGTACAAGTCAGAGGTGTCCTTAAATTATTTAAAATTGAGATACAGGACAAAGTTGAGTGCCTTTTTAAATAATAGATTCAAAGTATGTATATAGGGCAAAGGCAGGGTACACATTCTGGAAAAAGCCAGTGTTAATTTGCTACAAAAAAACTGCAACATATCTTGCCATCTTTTTTAAAAGTTCATTTTCATTGTCATATCAGCTTTCTTCTTGCTAAAGAATGTGACAGAGCTTTAATCCATGATAAGGAAGTGACAGAAACTGTCATTTTTTTCTACAGACAGCACAGCAGTGTAATTTGCAAGCTAATCAGCAGGAGCCCAGCCAGGCTTTGCATTACACAGAAATCACTTCCGGTTTGAAACCTTGTGAGACGTTTTTAAAAGTACAAGCAAGTATATATGCTCTCCTCTTCCTAGTAATTCCAAAAGGATGGATCCCACCAATCCCTCCATTATTCAACTAGATTAAAATTTTCACTTACCTTTTTCCAACCATCACCAGAGTGCTTAAAGATTGCAAAGAAAGGAAAACAATTTGCTATCATGAAGATTTCATCATCAATGCCATAACTTCATAGATATACCCACAATAAGGCTGACACAGCACATTGAGAACATTACATTCCCTGAAACAACTGTTCTGACAGTGAAACAGAAACTGAAGCCTTTGTCTACTTTACTAAGGAGCAGACTATTTACAACCTGCTCACTTGTGATCATTCTTACCTGAGTCTTATCTAACGATGGACAGATCAGGAAAGGTGGGCACTTCATGCAAAATATCCAAGGTATCTTTTTTTAAAAATGTAGCTCTCAATGACTGCTAAGAACCCTGCACAGAAGAGAGACAGAAACAGGAAAAAAACCTATCTCCTGCAGCATCGCCAGAACCAAAGTTCATTATGAGACACTTCCTTCCTCCGAAGTGCTGGAGGCAGAAGATTTGGGAAAGTCCTAACAACTCTTTACATCAGAAAATGCTGCCACTTTCCAAGCCCATATGAAAAGTCCCCAATGTCATACCAAAGCTGATTAAATTCTGAAATAAATTTACCTTCCTTAAAATTTCTGGAACCACATTCTGACAGATTGCAATCCTCTTTCTATAGATGATCCCAGTTGACATATCTAGAAAATAAAAATTTTACACTCAAATTTTTAAGAAATGTATTTTAGTATTAATGTCAAAAAACTTTTTATGTCAATTTCAATTTCCTATATAGAATTCCTGTTTAACTGAAAACTCAGTTCCCTGACACTTTACTCAGCCAAATCACGTCAAATATACCTATCTGCGATCAAGGGATAAGGGTGAAACAGTCACTTACACTGTACATTCTAAAGTCAGGATAAAAAAGTGCAAATTGCTCACTGCTCTGACCATCAATGTTAACTCCATTGACAAGGGCCAGAGAGCTTCCTATTCAAAACCAACAGAAACAAAGCTTCTGTGATCTGCCACCTTCTGCACCAAACATGTTTGCTGTATTTAAATTTTATATTAATTTTGAGGAGTTACATGTTTGCTCTTCATATCAAACATGTTTTCATGGAAAGATTTCTAACTATTAAATTTAAACACATAACTAATTATATTTGTCATTTTTTCTTTCAGCAAAGAGCAAAGCCCTTGTGACTGGAACCATTCTGTTTTGGAATGAAACTTTCAGAATAGTACCAGGGATGTACAAAATATACACCAAATTTGAGTTAACAAAACAAGAGACCAAAGTGGAGAAAAAGATAAATTTTAAAGTGCTGCCTTTTGGTCCATTCATTACTGTGCTTCAGCCAATCTCCTACTGGGTTTCTTAAAGCTCTGGCCGTGGTAGCCCTGAACCTTGGTGCAAACACCCTGACTGTTCAGATACTATAAGAACCCAGTTCCTCGCTCACCCCTTGGCATTCCTTTGGCCAGCTCATCCAAAGTTTGCAGCACACAGACTTAAATTGAACTGGCTGCTCCTGAAGGCTACAATTAATGTCCTATACCACTAGGAACTTGTTCTCACTTGATCTTCACAACAGCCTAAAATCAGGATTGTTACGATTTTCTTATTTTGCAGATGAAGAAACTTAAGTCACTTAGAAATTTGGACAGACTAATAGTTAATGAAGTGAGGACTTGAAATCAGACTTGTCTGATGCCAAATAACAAGTGTCTTCCACACTACAGGGGTACAAAAAACATATTTTTAAAATATACCTAAACAGCATGAAGTATAGACAATGTTCTAACAAGCAAAAGCTTCTAACAAACAAGCAAAAACACAGAGAAGGTCTAGAGGCACATAATAAACAGTCACTTCCTCAGAAACTTCAAGAACAAGTCAGACATGGGCCAGGGTGTCTCCAAAAAGTTAGCTGCATTGCTTATAAGCATTTATAAGCATCCTTATAGCTTTTTGTGTTGCCTGATTCTCAAGTCTAGGTACTGACAGTGAAAATGCTTCCACTAAAGCTCTTACACTGGAGATGAGCAAAGGAGTACAAAGACACCTACACCAGGGTTTGGCAAAGGGCCAAATAGTAAATATTTTAGGTTTTCTGAGTCAGACAGTCTTTGTTGCAACAACTCAACTCTGCTACTGTTGCATGGAGACAGTCACAGGCAATAAGGCCATAGGCCACATAATATTTAGGTCAATGTACTGCATATATGATGGCAGTCTCCAAATCCCTACTGCCTAATGACACCATGCACACTATTACAGTGCTACAGGAGCAGCAAGAAGTTGTGGATGACCCAGTTCCTCTCCCCAGATGCCCCCTGAAATGCTGTGCCAGCAACATGGAGAGTGCTGTTGGAGAGTTACAAACACTGTGTGACATTTGCATATCCACAAACTTGCCTAAGCTGTGCTTCTCAGAGCACCTCCCCTTTGATAAGCAATACAGGGCTATCTGTAAACAAATAGATATAATTGTGTACTAATAAAGTTAAATATTCAAAGCCAAGGGCAGCAAAAGCATAGCTTGTCCACCTGTTCCAGTTAAAATGGACTGCACTGCTAAGTTATATTCCATAACCTAATTGCTATGTGGTCGCACTCATATATGGATATGCTATTAATCACATCTATTTTGCTATTGATAAACATGGAACTATATGATAAGGATTCAGAATATAACCTTGATTAATACTGACTCAGAATATAAAACTTGGGGTAACTTGGTTTCTTCATTCACTGAATAGGAGTAATAATAATACCTACCCCGTACATTGTTCTGAAGATTGAGGCAATAAAAGTGAGAGTGTCTGGCACATATTAAAAGCTCAAAAATGTTAGCTGTTACAGCTGTCATTAATTATTAATTAAGAAATTGGCAAGATCACCTCATGTAGCTATAAATGCTAGGCACGCATTTTGATCAAATACACAAATAGACATGTTAAAAACCACAAGCTGACACACACATGTGCACACATACACACACACCTTTAAAAGAATCAGTGTTACATAATGTTCGTCTCTGAATAAGATATATTAAGGAACTTACCTCTTTTTTCCTCCACTATTTTTACAGAGATGACATTTTTATCCATGGGGTTGGGATACTAAGTGAAAACACATAAAGAAATATTACCATTCATCTTTTACAAAGTGGATTATTTCATGGTAACCACAACTATTTGCAGGAATAGTAAATATTTTTCAAGTAACCTGTAAGGCCAGTTTTCCAACAAAGGTCATAGTTTTACTATTAAGAGGGCCTAAATAGGTGAGGGGTCTAAATAACTGAGATGTTACTACCAAATGAACTTCTCTGAAATCCTGGGGAAAACTTTCTTAGATCCTACTTATCCTTTGTTGGGGAGGGCAAAGTTCAGTTAAGCTAATTAATAAATAGTAATAATATTAATGTTGAACCAGATTCTCACACACCAGAAGTATTCATTGTGCCAAACACTGAGCAAAATTCTTTACTTGCACAATCTTGTTGAAAGCCCTAACAGACTCTGGGACTGCTCTATGTGCTATTCAGAACTGGAACTGCATG